TTGGCTGGGGGGGGGGGTGAGAAAGAGGAGAGAGACATCGTCCGACGTTGGGGTCACGTACAAAGTTCCTCGGCCAAAAAGGGGTCTCCAGTGGCAAAAGTTTAAAAATGCCTGGTCTAGAATAGAAAAACATTTTGCTATTTAAATATTAATTTTTTTATAGAGGTCTAAACATCAGAACAAAATGAGGCAGAATTAAGAAGCAAGGAGGGACAGTTTTATTTGGCATTAAAAGAGGAGCAGTTCCTCTAATTGAGGGATGGTTGGGAGTTATGATGGTGCAATTGTCACCAATGTGTGACACCTAACTAGAGCTATTTCCTTCCCCATCATTCTGTCTGTCTATATCTTGGTTTTCACTGATCTCATGTTCTGGGTTAAATTACTTTGTAAGCACACATTACCTTTCGGTCCCTTTTTCTTGGGTGACATGGTATTGTTTGGGTGTCAAGCGTTGTCTTAATTCTTGTTCAGTAAAGATCACCTTGCAGGTCTTTTTTTCCTTGCGTGACCCTGAGAACAATGAAATCATAAAAATCTGTTAATTTTTAATTGCAGTAATTGCTTTGCCATTTTCCAACAGTGTCAGCTTGTGCTTTGAGTGTTCTAAAACCTGTTCCCAAATACTAATTGTGCATAGCAACATGACAGCTGTCAATCTGTTGAGTTATTGAAAGAAAATCTTTTGGAAAATCATTGCCTTAGGACACTAATGCAAAAACTAAAAAAAAAAAAAAAGTGTCGCCATCATTGGCAATGCCTACTCTACCATGTGTACTAATTAGAAATAACAGCTAATATGATGCAGTCTCCGGGCATTCTGTGCATGACAGTCTCACACAATCATTCATAGCTAAGGTATACATGTTCTATAAAATAACATCCTAAACAGTAAGTAAAAGTTTTGTTTTTTTACAGACTAGTTAGTAAGACAAAACAGCCCATTAACAGTGACCCTCTCTGATGTTAGCTCAGATGACATGCAAAGTACAGCAACAGATACTGCCCAATAAAACTTCAGTTTACTAAAATTATATCTATGAAGATAATCTCTTTTTATATAAATGACGAGTAATGCTGCTATGGGTTACTGGGCTTTGCATATTATCCTTGCTTTTTGCTGCCTGTCATTGAATAAGCCCCTTTGAGGACAAGTGTAACTTCTCTTCCCAAGACAATCTTGCATTTGTATTTATTAATTAAATTGCATATACGAGTCGTACATCAAACTGAGTTTTCCTGGTCCTTCTAAAATTATTTATGTGAAGCAATGGTTGGTCCCTCGATTTAAGCTAGTCCCTTTTCAAGCAGACAAGCCTTTTTTAACTGCTTTGACGAAACTGAAATTGAGGCTGCCAGAAATCTGGTAGAAATATTTTGAGTTCTTTCTTTGTAATATTAATTACATTTCATTACTCAGAGTGGTTCTTTTTAATGAAATGAACAGAATAAATCTTTAAAAGGGAAACTATCTAGCAACATCCTTGCTGTAAAAAAAATTGTAATAAAATTAGCTAAAACAGATTATTCACTTTTAGACTGTGATGTGTTCAGAGTATGAATGCCAAAGATGGTACTGACTGTGGAGAGGTTTTGATATGCTTTTCATCATATGTCTAACCAGTTGTGGGCATCAGACATTCTACACATGCCCAAAAAAAACGTAAATCAAAGCACACAGGATGTGTGTAGTACACCCTGGGCTTCTGCCACCCTCCCTCGCATTTGCCAGTAATTCCTGGTTTTCAAAATGACAGCCAGGAGTTACTGTGTAAATACAGCAATGGGGATGAGGTATGGGTTGTCCACTTTCAAGGATCTACGGTAAATCCTGTTCGGTTGTGGTTCGCGGACCCCGCAAATTAAAGCAGGTATTCTTCATAGTAAACACCATGAACTGCCTGGCCTTTGAACTTAGGTCAGCTGCCTTTGAAGGGCCAATAAGAGGGCTTTTGGATAAGCCAGCCCCCTCACAGTTACCAGCAGCTATATTGACTATGGGCTTTAGCTGTGATAGGGAAAGCATAGGGAGTGCTGCTGATAAAGTGCCTAGGGAAGGATTACTATAGGGCTTGTGGGCACTGGCAGGTCTGTTAAAGTAGATGTAAACCCTTATTGAATGTCATGTAGGTAGCAAAATGCTATGTATTTTGGAGAATTAAGGGGGTTGGGGTGGGAGAGTGTTAAGAGAAGGGATTTTAACCTGTTTTCATCCTTTGTTACATAACAATGCTGTTGATGTCTGGCAGCATTTTTACAACCTATCCTTGTCCACATCACTACGGTGATAACAGGTTGCATGTGTTTTTTCAAATTTTTTTTATATTTCCTAATTGTTGCTGTGGAACTCGGGCACTAAGTTCCTTAAAGGAGAACTATGAGGTGAGTGCTTTTCACTCATCCTCATAGTTCTAGCCGACCTGTAACAATGAAACTGTCACAGGTCGGCTCAGTAGATCGGGAAGTGAGCGAACACATACCGGCATTCGCTCACTTCTCGATCCTGCCACGGCAGAGAGCCGTGACAGGGGAGGGGCTGGATTCCCCCTTCCCCGCTCTGATCCTCCAGCGCTGACTGGCGGAACAGCCGGGGAGGGGGCGGGTACAGCTGGCTCTGCTTCTAGATAGGCAGAGCCAGCTGTCACTGACACAGCTGGACGGATCCAGACATAATTGTCGGGATCCGTTTCAGCTGTGGCGTCTCAGTATACTGCGAGCTGTAGGCCGTGGTATAATGTGGCGTCTCAGTATACAGCGAGCTGTAGCTCGCAGTATACTGAGCTTAGGGTGATGGGAGGATGCTAGATTGTGTCCACCCGTTACCCTTAGGAGAACTATGGGGAAAAAGCCCTAACCCCATAGTTCTCCTTTAAGTGGCACCCTTTAGAACCATCTCTGATTATGCAGGCGGTAAGGGCTACTGGTCCTAAACTGCTTACGAAGTTCCACTTTCCTGATCCCCTGTCCAGGTGACTGGCACATGCATCTCCAACTGAAACACTTCTATGATACTCTTAGTAGCTTGGGTTCCAAGGGGCCTGGCACCTTTCGAGGATCTATGGGTATGCAATAAGGGCTGTTTCCACTTGATTTAGAACATTTCTGGTGTTTTATTTTTGCATGCTTTTCCAAAGTTTCCAATTTTCACCAAGGACTGGAAAAGGAAATTGGACAACCCCATTACTGATATTGACTGGGATAAGTCCTTTCTCTTGACATTTAAATTAAGCATATTGAGTCGGGCTGAGGAAAGGAACTGTAAGTGTTATCTAGGTGATACAGGTGTCCTCCAAACATAAAAAGTTCCCCTGGGTATCGGATCAGTGTTGGAGGTGTGGGGAGGAGAAATGTATAGCGCTACATATCTGGTGGTCTTACAGATGTATTTGCCCATTTCGGCACAAACTCTTTACACTAATAGAATAAAATTATAGGCCTGCCGTGGCCTAAAACCCCGGAAACAGTCCTTTTGTTCATTCTAATAAGCTCCCCTGTCATTGGCAAAAAAATCCTGTTTTATGCTTTCTCCTTTTGGCAGGGAGAGCCTTGATTCCAAGGCATTGGAGATCCACCGCCTGAATGAATATTGGGAAATGGGTTGTTGAGCCGAATGGTGCGATGAGGCTAGAGGAACTCAAGGCCCAACTTCATGATAGTTATCAGAATTTTGTTGCTACCTGGAGCATGTGAATTGACTTCTTCTTCTTAACTGCTAATTGCCTAATCTGTTCTATTGCATCGGTGATAGAACCTCCTACGGCTGCTGGGGGGGAAATCACATGGCTGGACTGCTTCCACCTCCCCCCCTTCCCTTATGGTGTCTGTGTGGTTCTAATTTTTATTCAATCAGACAGGCCCTTGCACTACAGTACATAGACTACATATTGGTGAATCTAAATGAGATTATACGGTAATATTGTAACATGTGTGATTAGTTATAAACCAACCCTTCCACGATTCTGGCAGATCTGCGCTGTATGTTGCATTGGAAACCGCACATCTGTTGCTGAAAACTCTATCAGCTGGCCCTGAAGCCTTCTGTGCATACCCAGACAAATCTAATTTACTCCAATGGAGAGGCCACCTATTCTTGGGTCATATTCTATGATAGACAGCATCTCCATAGGAATGAATTGAACTATGTCCGCACATGCACAGAAGACTTCGGAACTGGCCATAAGGGTTTCCAGTGACAGCTGTGTAGTTATTTTGGGCCACAAAATGTGGCTCTGCTAGGATCATGGACCGGCAAGTATATGCCTTTGAGGGAGGGGGTTGTCATTTAAAGGATAATTGTACAAAAGTATAATTATTCTTTAATCTCTGGTAGATGTAATCATGCATTCATGTCAAGTAGATTAGGATTCTGCACATATGACGTGGGCATCCATGCATGCGCTTCACAGCATAGGTGTGTGTGTGTGCACGTGCACTTGTCATTGACAGTGGCGCTAGATGGGCTATTTAAACTAAGCTCTGTCTGAACTCTGTGCTGGATGATCTTCAGCTACTTCCTTGTTATCTGCGATCCAAACCTGAATACTCGATTGACCTCCTGTTACTGACCCAGCTTCCTATTAATCTGTCTTCTGGATTGAGCTATCTAGCTATCCTTGTGTACCTGTTACTGCCTTAATTCTTCCTATCAATTCTTTGTGTCACTTTGATTGCTTCGCTCGCACCACCTGTGCCAGGTCTTCTGTGGATTCAATTACAACACACAAGTTCCTGTCTGTTGGTCCACACGAAGGCACACGTTCCCCTATATACCCTCAAATTCCCCACTTAGGGGTGCTAGGACTAGAGTCCATCTTCAGCATCTCAGGCATCTGTTATGGTTCATGGCAATTCCATTAGAGGTCTGATTTTGTGCAGAATGGGTCTTTGTATCTTTACTGGCAATATATTGGTCTTTATTTATTTATGCTTTTACTAATATTATTAATGTCAAATCTTTTATTTTTATCAAATCAGTTTTTGCCTTAATGTAGATCTAATGGCAAAAGTTCTAGTATTGAACAGGGTATTGCGCGTCAATACATGCTCCACGCTGCGTGCAACATTTTAAAAAGTCATCCCAAAAGTACCATAATCTTTGTTCCATTCCAGCAGTCGCAAGTGTCTACCTCCACAACTAGGGCTGTAGGAGGGTTAGAGGCCAAAGCAGCACTTCCGTGCCTGGGACGGCACTGCTCTTTCTGGCCTGCAAATAGCAGCAGTGCTTCCCACTACTGCAGAGGCAACAGGTAGACTACAGTCATGTGAAGGTGACAATGCCACTGCGCTATTAATGGCAGTGTATCAATGTTGTCACTCTACAACAGAAAGTACAGTTTGCAATATACTGAATGGAAGAATCAACAAGTAAGATTTAGAATTTTGCAAACAGTAAATTATTAAAAGAGTATGCTTAAGACTTTAAAAAGGCAAAAGCAAACAAACATATATATATAAATCTAGGTTTTGCCTTTGAGATTGTCATACATATGTTTTAGTTTTTTGTGATGATTGAA